CTACTTTTTTCATGAGCTTTAACAACATATCCTTTAAAGATTTTGGTGATTTAATACATGTTTCCTTCAGGAATTTCATCCCATGATTAGGGTTTTTATTCATGAATATCATGAATATCATTAGGGGGGTTACACACTATTAAAACAGCAAAAAACCCCTTAAAAACAAGAGTTGATCACTTGATTTTAATAGTGTGTGACCATGTGTGACCCCCTTATGATATTCACGAATACAAACCCTACCCATGATTGTCAAACCACAACTTTCCCACTTCGCCAATACCATATTCATCACGTTCACCATTTCCAATTCGTCATAAGATCCAATTGCCTCGGTGTCCATACTTTCTCTGAGTGTTCGTATCTGTTCTATGTGTGTTCTTCCACTCAGCATTCGCAGCACTGGTGCTTTCACCTCTTTATAGATGACAGTCACACAAAAACAAATTAAAAGATATAATGAATAAATAGTTAAAATATGAATACATACCAAACAACAGATGTCCCCTTCAAATCTGCAAAACCTTGATCAACGATGACATTCCACACATGACAGTTATACTACGCCTCCAAACTCTGGCCTTTTAATCCTCCATTCTCAATTTCCCTAACCCTGAGAAACAATTGTTTAGTTGAGAATACTTTGATTTACATAAAGAAATTTGAATATATGATAACCTACAGTGCATATAACGCAAATCTAATGTAATCTAGATCATGGTAAGCATCTTGATCATATTTCATATCCAACTTTTCATCTGGTTCATTAATTGCTTTACATATCTCCTTTAGTGTTTTCTGATTCAATATATGCATTGTTTGCCAATTAATATATAAAATAACCTCACTTTATTGTTAAATTTGATAAGATAATCTATAATGTCTTGTGACAGCTGTGGTATTTCTGGAACACATTCATTCTCCATTTCTAGATGTTCAGCTTCACTAAAATGCTGTTTTATTAACTCATCATCCACATCCACAATAAATGAGTGGGCTCCACTAGAAATACAGATCTCCAATTAATACATTTTCCTAATAAATGTCAGCAGATGAAATCACTATCTTACTGCTCAAATTCCAGACCATGGCCAAGATTATATAGTTTTTCTTCTACCACTCTACCACTTGTCTCCAACTTCCACATGTTTTTCTTCTTAATTGACAAAAAAGCAATCTTGATTTCTTTGTGATTTGCATTGCTCAAACACCAAGGACCCATCTATTGCTCCTTATTAGTTTTCACGAATATTATATTTAAAATCGGAAATGTCATCAAAGAATTATACCTTATTCTCCTTGAAATTGTCTTCATTCACAGAAGGCTTTTCAAAAAAAGGGTTAAATACAGAAGTTTCATAGAGTGTATCTTCCTCTCCCTCCTCTTTTTCCTGTTGTTCCGGTGAACGATACCTGACATGCAATGTATTTTGTCTTTCGGGTGTACAGAGCCCATAATTAGCAATCTCTTGTTCTGCGTTATACAGAGACTCAGCCTAGTTGAATGTAAACTTAATCAGAAAAATATGCTTTCTCATATGATAAAAATATGTCTATTGTTTCTTATTAGCTTTTGACAAAATATTATTCAGTAATGTTTAGAGATGGGAACTGCAATTAGCCACAATTCAATTTTCATATGCCGCAACCACAACCGCAATTCAATTTTTATATGCCACAATTAGTTGCAACTAATTGAGGAACCATCTTTAGTAATGTTGAAAAAATTTTTTGTACCTGACTATTCTCTGCTACACAAACTGTTGGATCTTGAGATTTCTGCTTTTTTCCTGGTTCGTCTTCAACATTTTGCAACACATCTTTTAGTGTTTTTATCATATTATCAGTCACTATGGTACGTACTTGGTGTTTTTCATTGTTGGCATCTCTCAACACACATTTGGCATAGTCCAACTATTTCATGTGGCAAACTCAGTTTCTTGCTAAAATAGAAAAAATCTTATTTTAACAAACCTGAATATTTTCAATTTCATTACTATAGCATTCATTATTAATCAACATCCAGAAGTTGTTTACAATCTTGGAGGACTTCTTGTTCTTCTTATGGGAAAGAAAATAGACAATTAATATAAAGCTAGACAGAAACCACTATACTGTTAAAGAATTAAACATTGATATAAGTGGACCATAACATGGTACGTAGCCTGACAACCAGTTGGGACATATCCATCTGGTTGCGTTATGGCAATAACACATAGTCTATTCAAGAATGCTCAGGAGAAGACGTAACTCCATTCTCACCAGCCAATGCATAATCAGCTAGCTACCCAAGGTTTGTCAGATACGTCATGTAATTGTCTTGGTGACTGGAACATACTCTAGCTCTTGAACCCACAATGTGTGTATTAAATAGTATACTTAACTTCAAAACTAAGAAGACTTCTTCGAGCTTGTTCATGATCTTTGGATAAAAAATCTAAAGCTGTTTTGTACAATTTATGTTCTTTTACTTTATCATATGTGAAACAGTCGGTCTCCCTCCTGTACTGTATAAACTTAAGTAGTGACCAGTTTCTATTATTCTTGAAAAAATCTTTTATTACTACTTGTACTTGCAATTTACTCGACATTGTGGCAACTGAAAAAAAAAAACAAATTGTATTTTTAGTCACCCTGTATTCATCATCTGACCAATCAATGGCTTTAAAATGTGATGATTTTATTGGTTCATCTTTGTCTTGGTCACGGGAGGGGTGTGAATAACAATTCTGTAAAATTATTAATATTAATATTAATTTATAATTAAGTAAATTAATATATAACTGATCAAACATTGTATCTTGATTACTATAATGCGAATTGCACACATTGATATACTTTATTATAAATTTTTTTTTATCAACTTGTACATTTTTACACCATTTCTTATTTGTACATATAATAAAATTAATTTCGATGAATAATAATTCAAGTAAAAGAAAACTTTCTTAACAGCAAAGAAGAGCACAGGAAAAAAAACACATGTATTAGAAACACATATTAATATACCATGTCAAATAGCTAAATGTATATGTAAAATTTTAATAAAATTTGATTTCAATTATTAATATAAATTTGATTTAAATAAATATTTACAATTTATAAAGTTCAAGAAAATGATGATAATATCTTGAAGAACAAAACCTTATGTCTTACTTCCCAATTCTAATAGTTTTACTTCAAATCAAATGAAAACTGTTCATTAACAAATAAGAGCTGTGAATCAAACAACACATGAATTTATAACATTTAATGATAAATATTTTAGTGAAAGGACTATTCTCTCTTCTAGAAATGAAGATGTAGATTATATTAATCAAGAGATTCTGAATATGTTTCCAGGAAATCAACATACCTATAATAGTGCTGACAATGTTGTAAATGAAGGAGTTGATAATAACAATATTTATCTCATGAATTCCTCAATTCACTTACTTTCAGTGGAATTCCACTTGCAAAACTTAATCTTAAGGTTGGTGCTTCTTAGAAATCTTACACCAAAACAAGGTCTTTGTAATGGTACTCGCTTAGCAATCATCAATATGACTGATAATGTTATTGAAGCTCGAATACTATGTGGTGATCATGCTGGAGAATTAACATTTATACCGTGAATTACATTGACACCTTCAACTTCTGAACTTCCATTGTTTTCAGAAGAAGAAGACAGTTTCCTATTGATATTGCTTTTGCAATGACAATTAACAAGGCACAAGGACAATCAATAGCAGATTTTTCATTACATATCTTAATAATCGATACCACAATGGAAGCAACAAACAATGACAACATTATAAGATCGGCAAGAGGGCGAAAACGTGTTCTAAAAGTTTGCAGCATTTTTTTAATTTTTTTATTTTATTTTAATACGAGTCAGAATGAAAGGAAAAGACAGATATTTATGTTTGTTCCTCCTCAGAACTTCTCACGAATAAAAAATTACATATGGAAGTCATTTCGAACTTATTTGGAGAAGCATATTAACATTAATATCAAGTTATATTGAATTCATCAATTACTGGATTTATCGTCAAAAATAATAATAATAAACTTCCTTTTTCTCAGTAGTTTCTAACATGGCATTAGTTGCACTAGATACATTAATGTTTCACATAAAACTGACTTTATACTAATACAGTTGATACCTCTCTTGGGACTGAAAAAAAAAAGTGTAATTGTAAAAAAGTTATATGACGCGATTATAAGGAGTTTTCTTTAATATATTTTAAGTAATGTTGGTTTCTAGAGTTCCGCAACTGTGCGAAAGTCAAAAGATTTCTTCATAAGTCGAAACTAGTTTTGACTTTTTACTTTTTGTTTTTTTTGATTTTAGTTTTGACTTTCGCCTCTTCAAAATAATTTTGACTAATTTTAAGTAACTCGCCTTACAGAAAATGGACGTCAAAACTCATCACAAGAAACACCCTCCAGTAGTGAAGGTAAAGATAAGAGGAGAAAGGTACAATATGTTATAAAATCAATAATGCTTCTGTATATAAGTACCGATAAAATCACTATTTCAGATATTAACAAAAAATTAAACTTTATCAATGGTTATTTCATTAATGGCAGGCAATTCCTATAAAAGGATTATAATTGTATCCGATTTTGGTAAAGTTTTTCGCTGAAAGCTATATAGTTATATATATGAAAATTTTTCAAAATAAAAAAAGTATTAGTATATACCAGGGTTGGCAAATTGACTGGTCTATTGAGAACAAATGGATTTTGGACTGGTCCATTGTCATTTAATAAAATACTAAATATGGTTAAAGTGTTACACTAATGGACCCAATAGACCACCAATAGACCATCAATTGGCCGCACATTTGCCAACCCTGGCATATACAATCCACTTTCTTTATAACGTATCTTTTTTTCGGATTCTTTTCTATAACGGTTATTTTTCTAATCCCAATGAGAGAGTGAACTGTAGGCATATCAAGCAAAATTTTGTGATCTTTTCCTTTTAAGTTAAATTTTCTAAAGACTCGTAGGGGGAAACTTTTGTCAATAATTTTGACTAATCCAGTATGAAAGTCCATTGCACACAGTAAATCTCGGTTTAACAGATAGTTTGGGTGATTTAGAAAAATTTTTCTAGAAACCCGCTATATTGAGAAACTGTTATAGAAGAATTTATTATGATTCATTATTAGACTCAATCTGTTAAATCAAGATTTTTAATTTGTATACCATTAAATTGGGGCCTGCTAAATCGAGATTCACTGTGTATCTTTATTAAACGAATTAAATGTATTACTTTATATAAAACCAAATCTAAAATTTATTTCTGAACAAGCAATGATATTATATTGAGATTTGAAATCATTAGAACATCCTATTAAAGATTTTCCGAAATGGCTTGTCTCTTACCTGTAAAAATTTTCAATTTGCAGTTTAGTTTTGTTGGAAATGATAATTAATTATGATTTTTATTTGTCAAAAAATTTTGAACGAGATATTTCGGCAATTCAGATATAATTCGGGATACAACTAGAAATTCAAAATATTTCAGAATCAAAAAAATTGTTACGGCCAATATCTTTAGCTCCATCTTCTAATAAAGACCAGTTTCATCACAATTATATTCTCCAAGAATATTTTTTGGTTCTTTCTCATCAGGGAAACTTGTTCAATTGGTGCGCTTAGAGGCTTTCCATGTCTATTGAATTCTTAATTGAATATCTTTCTTGAATTTATCAAGTCAACCTGTTGATGCTTTAAAAGCTCTATTATTCAATAATTCAGCTAAATTTAAAGCCTTTTGTTGAATAACAGCAACTGTAATTGTTACATTGCATTCAGGTGCTTTTTGGAACCATGAAATTAGAGCATCTTCAACATTCGTGACAGAAGAAAGACACAGTCCTTTTAATTTTGCTTGATATGAATTTGGTTCAATTTATCAGACTCTTCCAATATGTCATCTTTTTAATTGTGTAGGATTCCAATAATTCAACAAAAAAAATTTTTGTCATTATTTGATGATTTATTGTTCGCATTCATCTTTGAAAATTTGATAATAAAAAAAGTTTTTTTTTTTTTTTGAAAATTGGATTTTTAAATTTATATCACATGAATTCGTTGTAACGGTTAGTACTTACTAGCAGCTATTACCATCTACTATTGTGGAAACAAAAATTCGCGAACCCTCGTGTCTTTTATTTCAGTGTGTTACATATTTCGTTCTTGCATTTCATCAAATTTGTTCATTATGGCTGAAATTGCCGTCTCTTGTCAGTTTTAATGATACATGACGAAATTTTTGACTTTAGTCATTGACGTGACGAAAGTACCGACTAAAGGTAGTTTTTCACCAAAATGCCATTTTGACGATTTAACGAAAGTAAAAAATTGAAATCCTTTTTTTTGTTTTATAATAAAATATAAAAGATACCCTTTATTATATATAATAAATACTTTGAGTAAAATTATTTTGAATTGAATCTATAAAAACAACTGCAATAATATAATAATAATAAACTATTATAATAACAACCATAAACTATTCAATCACTATCACTGTGCTAGAAACTTCCGCCTCCTTTTACATCAAGTAGTAAATTCGTAAAATAATATTGCTTAAGGCAAGAAGAATTAGTTTTAAAAAAATGTTAGATCCACAAAATAAATTATTTGGTAAGCCTCAAATGTGTGGATCCATTTTGCTAAAAAAACAAGAAAAATCTAAAGGATATTACTCTGCACAATCCAAGTATTGTACAAAAAAGTTTAACCATGGACAACCGCAAAAACTTTTATCACATTTGGCAAATCATTGTTCTCATGAAATGTCGAAATTTTAGAATCACCATCAAAGTATTTGTTTGCTGCGGAATTTCTTTTTCAGTTGCCAGTAATCCATACTTTATAGATCTTCTTCAACAACTCCATCCTGCATATCAACCACCATCATCCAGGAGTATTTTATTTGGAAAATTTCTTGATACATAAATACCTAATACTAATGTTTTTAAAGTGGAAGTGGAAGTTTATGGATTGAAAATAATTACAATCCCGAAAACAGAGTCAATCATTATTTAGAAAGCGAAGATTGTAATTTAGAAGATGGAATAATGTGAAGATTGAAAATAATGTTAACATAACTAATGGTAATTGCAATGTAACCAATATATCAAAAAAGAAAGAAAAGTCAAAGCTTATATTAAAACAACATAATTTACATTGAAGAAATGTTGATAATGAAGTTGTAAAAAATAAATGACAGAAATCTTAATAATTTGTAGTTGATAACATAAAAATTAGATCTGGTTTTGCTTATTTTACCAATGACTTCAATGATTCTGATTCTCGTCAAGGGTTTAGTCGTTCGTCATTTTTAGTGCATTTGACGAAATAGTTTCTCAATTCCAAAACATTTCGTCATACAACAGTTCATGTTCTTGTTTTACAAAGCATAGTAATGATAATAATACTTGTCAAACTTGTAATCACGAAGAAACCTTTCATCAAATGGTCATTCAATTTATTCTAATTTAAAAAGTAACATTCACTTTTAACTATGTTGTATGTGAAATTGAAATATTATGGAGTGGGGTGAAACTCTGATTGGCTAATTTGAATTTCACATAATTTCATTTTCACGTACAACAACTATACAAACTCACCTACACATTCTTTTAATCATCCATATGAGACAAATAACAAAAGTGCTCGATCGTTAAAAAAACCTCATTCATCATTGAGAATAAGCACCATTGAAGTTAATAGCGATTATTTGAATCAAATAAATCCTTCACAATTTACTTGTATATGCGGAATGAATAGTAAATGTATTTATATAATTATACTAAAAAACTATTACATTTTTGGAAACTTCTAGTTTTGGCCTATCACTTGATAATTGTAGATTTACCAAAAAAAATCTCAGATCCAGTTTGGTCAATTAGCAAAGATATTTATCATTAATCACTCATATGTCTGCTGTGACAAATTTACCTTGTACTTGTGAATTGAATGGGATGGCAAGCTTCAAATTCTTTCAATATTAATCAATTGGTTTTTTAAATAATCTGAATCATCAGATTCAATCAAGGCTCTATTTGCTCTCATCAAGGTGTTTTGAATGTGTTCGATTACTTGGTTATGCACTTGAAAATTATCCATTTATTAACTAACTTTAAAACAAGTTTTATTTTTATTTTTTATAAAAATTTATCTTTATATCAAAATTTAAAACAATAATAATATGTACTGTAATGCACCGTACGTATGTATATTACACTTAATTTCACCGAGAAATTGATACGGTTTTTGAATTGTTTGGCTTGCCATAGTTAAAACAAAAGCCCAATTCGGACGAAAAATTATTTTTTCATAATTAAGGATTAGACACAACATGAAGTGACTGTATTTATATTTGGATATTATCTCTTCGACAGATCTCTACATGATTTGTTGAAATCTAACACTACTACTATTATGATAATCCCTTTTAGCTTATTAAGGTCTGAATAATCAAAAGCCAGTCCCTTTGCAATTGTGTGATGTATAATCTCAACTGCTTTGCTACACTATTCAAGAAGTTCTTCTACGATAAAAATTGCTACATTGAATTTAATTTCAGCAAGATTCGGGCACATTGGCAAGTGCCAGTGTTCTATTATTCGAAATTCTGTTTGCGCGGATTTTGGGAAGTTTATTCTATTTAAATTTTAAAATCCAATTAATCCTATATATATAATTCTAAAATGTTCATTTTGATCTGTCTGGATATATATGTGATCATAGCTCTTTTCTATCGTTTAAAATGTGTGATTTGTTCATTGTTGTGTACCCATTATAGTGACTGTTTAATAAGTTAAACAAGTTTGTTGTAAATCAAATCTATAACCTAAACAGTCGTAGAGCACTCTATG